AGAGAAGCAAGACACTGCAGAGAATAAACCCGCTGATATTAGGAAGCAGTAGGCTGAGAAATTAAATATTTGTACTGCTCACAGATCCCTCGAGATATCTGCAGAGTGTGTCTGCATTGCAGCTAGAGGAGTCAGCTCGGAGTGACGACGTGGCTGTCTGCTGATGAGCTTAAGCACCACCTTGGTGCTCTTACCTAATGATGGTTGCCTCTCCGTGACTGTCCCTGGGAGTCTCCGTGCCGGAGCACGCTCAGGTTGGCCTCCTGCAAACGTGTCCTGGTTGGGACACGTTCTCCACGCTCGGCTGGGGCCGTGACGTGCGGGAGATGGATGGAGAGGCTGCAAGTGGAGTCTTGCTTCGTGCTCCCGCTTCCAAACTGTGATGTGGGGCACGGGGTCTTCCCTTTGTGTATTTACGTACACACACAGTCCCTTAGATTTATTCAGAGGCCCCTTCCTAGAATATTTTGAGCCTGTTCTGTAGGTGAGAGGTTACAATAGCATGAAGTTAGCGGGAGCCAAATGCATTTTGGATAATGATTAAACCCAGCAGTCATCCTTAGTAAAGAAAGGAAGCAGTTGGCACTTACATGTTGTAATGAAGCCATTTTGCATGTGCTTGCACACTGCCACACGATGGTGATTTTCAGCATGTATGGAGAAGAATTTGCCTGCTCTGTAGCCTGTTTTCTGCAAGCCCTCTGTATTTCACAAAACTGGGCTAGGAGCTACAATTCTACACTTGCATTTAAAGAAAGTGGCATGCATTTAAAGTCATTTTATCAAATAAATGTCAGTTTTTATCACTTAAGCTACATCCTTTTGCATTCCCCAGATCTATACATCATGTAATAACCCTCCTGAGATGTTTATTTACAAAAACATTTTCACTTTAGGAAGTAATAAATGCACATGCAATCAAAGCAGGCTTTTTGAAACATCGCCTTTATAATACACTAGCACATGGAGGAAGGAGCAAGAAGGGAGCTGTTCACATATGGACTTGGTTCTACTTTAGTGCCTGATGAAGTAGGTCAACATTTAGAAAGGTCTCTGCTCCTCTGCTTTTGGCCCTAACTTCTCCTTGTCTGATAGCAAAAATCAGGGTTGTTGCAAGAGGTCTGCAGGTTTAATTTTGACAGTTAAACCATGGCCTTGTAAGGGTCACACTATAGCCTTTTAAAGGGTTTTGTTGTTGTTCTGTTTTTAAGTGAGTTAAATAACTAATGGACTGAAGAATAGATGTTGATTAGATTATTTCATCGTCTTTAAGTATACCAATCTTCAAAGAAAAAAATTTTTGAAGGATCTGTGTAGTATATTGGATTAAGTGTTGTATGGAGGGAGACCTTTTTTGCATGGGAAAGTTGCCGTGCAACTTTAATTTGCAGCGCGTTAGCACTTTATGTGGGTGCAGATGTATCTTGCTTGAGCTTGTTTCCTGGAAGAGCACTTTCCTGTTCCACCCTGAAAGCCTTTACCATTTACAGGAGCTTCTCCAGTGGAAATGCAGAAGCGTCTTGCTATAAAACCGTAGAAAAGACAAACTGCCCTCTTAGCTGTGGGAAGTGTCCAACATCTGCTGAAATCCAGATGCTGAAGCAAGTTCCACGTCTTTAAAACTCCTTTTTGGCCTGAATATATGGGGTAGCACTCCTTGGACTACAAATACAGGTGTCTTTTACTTTGCCTTTGAATGAATGGTAAGACATAATTTCTACGAAATTCCAAATTTTCCTGTATTTGGAAGGCAACACGAGTGCTACAAATGGAGTTTTTGGAAGTTACAGCTAGGTATTCAAACTGGGAACTGATCAAACCAGTTGAGCAGCGTGTGTTTTCTTGAAGTTGCATTTAGCAAGAACTGGGGTTTTTGAGGTGCTTTTGAACTTGGGACCGTTGCAGTGGGTCGAAGCTGAATTCCTGTGTGACAAAGCCATGCGTTTTGGGTTGCTGGGAAAGCAGGAGCGCGGAGAGACGGCAGTGGAAGTTGGAGAGCGGATGTGAAAGCATCCAAAGATAAGCTGGAGAAAATAAAAACTTAGTCTCTCATTCTATTTCGACTGAGTTTTGCAAATCCATTTTTAATTTGACCGACATCACTTGCGTTATTGTGGGCAAACACAAAGTGACTTTGCTTGATTATAACCTAACTTGAAAGTTTGTGGCGTTTTTTGTTGTTTGTTTTTTTTCTAACTACTGTATGGAGCGAGACTGCTCATTTTATACCTACTCTTTGGGGCTGCTAAATAAAATCCCTACAGGTTTTTAAAATATATTTGCTCTTGAGATAAAGCAGAAAAGAATACCACTTAGTTGGCAAATTCAGTTTTCTTGCTATTTGGCGTTAACGTTATTTGGACTTTTTGAGTGCTTGGGATCTTCTTGTAGCTCATGATTTCTTTGTAATGCTGCTTTTTTCTTTATTTCTTCCTTCCTTCCTTCCTCTCTGGTGCCTTTTTTTCTCGTTTTATTGATTACTGCCTGGTACACAATGAAGCTGTGTTTCTTCCCATGTTCTGCTGCCTTGTCTTCTCTCCATCTCTTGTTCCTGGAGCTTCCCTTGTGGCTCTGCAAATTCGTTTCCTTTTACCAGTACCTTGGTTCTTGCCTGCTGCGAAGTCAGAGAATGGAGTGGAGCCAAAAAAGACATAAAACTCACTCCTATGTATATGAACATGCACGTCCAATTCTTGCATTTTTAGCAGACCCGCGGTTTTGTTCTAGCCATATGGACACGTGCTAAAGACTTTGTCACAGATGATGGATTTTGCATGCATGAAACGAATGCATAACAATTTCATAACTGCACGGCTCAAAACTCATTATGTGAGTAAGCAGAAATGTGACCGCTTGGACAAATTCAAGCTTCAACAGAGCGATGTAAAAATGTGCAATAAGAAGGTAGGAACTGCTCATATTTAACTTCTTCTGGGCTTCCCTAACTGATATTCTGCTCTCAGCGGTGCAAGGGGAGGCAGCCGGGAGCACGGAGAGAAGAGGCTGTCAAAGGAGTAGGACAAGGTGCTCGTGATGTGTCCGGGCTGCTGCCTCTAGGCTGTGAGTGGGAAATGGGCCCTGTCCTGTACTCCGCACTGCTGCTCCTTGGCAAGCTGCCCAGCACAGCAAATTTCCACCACATTGGCCTTTTGGTCAGTCCCTGCAGTGTCAGCAAAGCAGATGGGAAGCAAGTTGTCTGGAGACGTGGGCTGTGCCTGGGTGTGTGTTTGCTCTGGACTTTTTTAAGGCAAAAAAAGCCTGTAAGGAGTGCTCTACTATGGAGTTTTGTGATTTAAACTTAGCTCCTTTAATGTGAAACTGCCTCACTGGCATCCTCTCATCCTCCTTTTCCTTGTTCATAGGAAAAGCTCTTCTGAAATCTCTGGCATTAGCCTGTCACTGAGTGCTTTGCTTCTAGTTCTGCAAATAAGTGTTTTAAGTCTTTGTCTAGTTTAGAAAAAAGTCACCGTTTTCTTTGAAAATTATATTTTATTGTATTGATATCTATAGTTTATGCTTGATAACCACTTCTTTCATTTGACATTTTTAACGGGTTAAATGTAACGCTGTTAAAATGCATGTTGATAGTTGGTAATTATGTAACATAAAGACGTCAGATGAAATGGTGATGAATTGTTATATGAGCGGGATCAGGTCTCAAACTGCGTCATTTGTGTTCGTGCTGAACGCTGCCCGTTTTTTTTCCCAGCAATATTAATTTTATCAGCAGATGCCCCTTTAGCAAAGGCCCCTGGAAAATTGTATGTGCAGTAACTGCAGTAACTGACCACGTGTGGTTGCTGGGGACACTTTGGTCTTGCCAGGTTGTCTCCTGCTAGTGCAACCTCCTTCCAAGGGTGACGGTGACGGAGCCTTTTCTGTGGGATCCCTGTCCTGCAAGGCCTGGAGGGGTGAGAGGAGCTGAGGGAGGATCTTGTGCTGAGGGAACTTGAGGGGACAGCGAAGCTCAAAGAAGCAACAGACTTTCTTGAGATGTTACCTTAATCTGTCACCTCGCTCTGTTGGAGGAAATTAATTTGTTTTCCCTACTCTCTCTCTGTCCTTTCGATTTTTTTTTTTTCTACACCCATTTTGTGTGGCTCATACACCGATCCTCTAGCCCGCTTGGCCACCGGGTAGGGTGACCACTCGTTTGGAGGATCTGACTTTGCTCGTCCTGACCGCGGTGCAGGGAGGAGGGTTTGATCCTCCTTGTGCCCTGGCAAGAAGTGGGGCCAGATGTCGGAGCAGCCTCGGCCGTGGTCGTGTGTCACTCACTTCCTGGTGCTACATCTGCAAAACTTCTCCTTTTTGGTTTTCATCGCTCTTTTCCTAGAAATAATTGCACATTCTGCTACCATTCATTTTCTAGTCGGAGAAAAACTCAAAATTCATGTTTTCTCCTGTCTGCAGAGATCTGAATGCCCCACTGTTGCAGCTGATGGGTTTTGTCAGCCTCTCTCCTAAGGACCAGCAAATGAGATGGACAAACTGTGCTCTAAAAATCAGCTCCGACTGTTTTGTAGTTTGAAGGTATAAGAGAACAAGGCTAAACCTTGAAACTTAATTTAGAATTAAGTGACCCTTACTGCATGGCAATTCATGCAACATCCTTAAGCTCTCCTCACTAGTGGAAAAAAAAAAAAAGTTTCTCTAACCTCTTCAGCATGCTGAGCGCTCAGATTCTAACTCTTAATACAGTCGAACATTTCAAGTAAACGTAAATGAGGATCAAAAGTTGCTTACAAATTTGGGTGCTGTGTGGAATGCTCCCTAAAATTCCCAAGCAGCAACTGGATGTTTTACCTGCTCGTTATTTTCTTGTTTGCTGATGAAACCCACTCCCATACTAAGCTGTACATGTGCATGTCTGCAAGGTTAGTTTTTACTACTTCTGATGCAGGTAGCCTTTGAATTTACGCTACTAACTTGCACATCTTTGTCCAAAAGCAGCTTGCACTTTCATGAAATCGATAACTTGCCAGGAGGAAGTCCACAAATCTCCCTTTTTTTTCGTTCTTTCCAGGTATGAGAAATGAGTGTTGGACGCAGAAGATTAAAGCTGCTGGGAATTCTGATGATGGTAAACATTTTCATTTATGTGATTGTGGAAGTTTCCAAAAGCGGCAGCCAAGAGAAGAATGCAAAAGGACGAGTTATTATCCCACACAGCAGGTTCTGGAAGAAGTATACTCCTCACAAAGCCTATTGGAATAAGCAGCAGCAGAAGCTCGAGCTGCTCTACAACCCTATCTTGGCCCTGCTTTCCAACATGACCGTGGAAGAGAATTTAATTGCTAATTCCAGTGTTCTCAGCTCCTGTGAGCCCGACCCGTGGGTGACGTCGGAGGTTAGTGACTTTGCCAACCTACCAGAAAGATTTAAAGACTTCCTGCTTTATCTGAGGTGCAGAAATTACTCCTTGCTGATGGATCAGCCAAACAAGTGCAAGCACAAACCCTTCCTGCTGCTGGCTATCAAGTCCCTGACTCCGCACTTCGACAGGAGGCAGGCGATCCGGGAGTCGTGGGGCAGGGAAATCCAGGCCGGGGACGTCACAGTCCGAAGGGTCTTCTTGCTTGGCCAGACCCCCCCGGAGGATAATTTTCCTGATCTTTCAGACATGATCAGATTTGAGAGTCAGACCCACCAGGACATTCTCCTCTGGAACTACAGAGACACTTTCTTCAATTTAACCCTTAAGGAGGTGCTCTTCCTCAAGTGGGTCAGCAGCAGCTGCGCGGACGTCCAGTTTATTTTTAAGGGGGATGATGACGTTTTTGTGAATACCCATCAGATCCTGGATTACTTGAAGAGCTTATCAAAGGAGAAAGCCAAAGACTTATTTATAGGCGATGTGATCAAAGATGCTGGACCTCACAGAGAGAAAAAATTGAAGTACTACATCCCGGAAAGTGTTTATGAAGGTTCCTACCCTCCCTACGCCGGCGGCGGCGGCTTTCTGTACTCTGGGGACTTAGCATTAAGACTGAATAATGCGTCCGACCAGGTGCTGCTGTATCCCATCGACGATGTCTATACTGGAATGTGCCTTCAGAAGCTCGGCCTTGCTCCGGAAAAACACAAAGGCTTCAAAACGTTTGACATTGAGGAGAAATACAGAAATAACATCTGTTCCTACACAAACTTAATGCTAGTACATAGCAGAAAACCTCAAGAGATGATAAAGATCTGGACGCGCTTGCAAGATCCACACTTAAATTGTTAAAGTAATGGTGTGTAAGTGTTCTCAGTCCAAATAAGTTTCCAAGTTCGGGTCTGCCTTGGTGAACCTCTGAAGCGCCATTTAGTTTTCAGCTTTTTTTTTTCTGAAAAGTTTTTCCAGTACCTTCGAAAGTGAGAATAATACTGGAAGGTGAGGGGATGGCATGAAGACTTGGTCCTGATTATTTTCCACTGTTCTAGTGGTCATTATGTTTCAATGTTTGCCTAAATTAAAAAAAAAAAAAAAAGAGAGAGAAAAAACAAACAAAAACTTCAGAGATGCAACTAGTGCTCCTTGATTGGTTAGCTCTTTTGGAAGCAGGAATTGCCTGCTACAGTTTCATTAATTGGGATGGTGGGAGAGGGTTTTTTTTGGAATAGTGTTTGCTTGGGGATGAGTGAAAAGCCACTGGAAATTGCAAGTGGCTTTTTTTTTTTTAATATATGGGTTTTGGTCTTTTTGCACCCCTGACCAGTATTTTCTCCTTTGCAAGTGCTCGTTTGTGCAAAGTGTGCCAGTGTGTAAAGGATCTCCCCTAAAAGGATTTATTGGATGATTCCTTTTTTTTTTTTTTTCACTAGGAAAAGAAAAAAGATCTAATGTGGTTCCACCCACCCTAGAAAAGACAAGAGCTGAGGATAAAGGGGAAAGAGCAGGTTTGGCGTTGGCCCGGGCGGTGGGTGCAGGTCTGCGTCCCTTTTCCGAAGGTTTTGCGAGGAAGAAGCCGCCTCGTTGCGCTGGTTACGTGGAGCTGCCCCGGTCGGTCCGTGCGTCCCGCTCCGGCGGTGATCGGGGAGCTCCATGGGATGCAGATAACTGACGTTGGCCCTGCTGCCGAGGCCGGGGCTCCCTCCACAAATCCAGAATTGTGCAGATCCTCCACGCTCCGAGTTTTGAAACAATCTTGGAAGTTGCATGACGTCTCATGTAGGTTAAACATGTTCTCAAAACTCAGATTTATTTTCCTGTTTTCCACATCTTGCTTAAGAGTTATTCTAAATAGTGATTGCTTCCTTTGTATATGTAGAAGTGCCTGTCTATTTATTGTTCAGATTAAAGACCAAAACATTTTCTTAAATATATTTTGTGTAACATTTTATTTGTATAGTGTTGTCACTCAGATATTTAAAATAGAGCATGATATTTTAAATCCGTGAGATGTGTAACGTTAAATAAAGGTAATTGTTATTTTTGGATTTGGAAGAGAAAATAAAATGTGATTTAAGTATTTCCTGCAATGCTTCTTGCTGGGTTTGGTGTTAGCAGGTGGGCAGAGCGGCTCCAGCAAGGGAACACGGAGGAGGAACGGGGCGTCTGCGCCCGAGCGCGGGGTGGAAACCGGAGCAAGAGGGGTTGCATGAGGGAGTCTGAATGGGGGCGTTTGAGCTTCCTTGGCCTTTCCCCTCCTGAAAGGACGAGGAAAATGGAGCGGGTCTGTGGTTAACCGGGGTTGGGGTCAGCCCTTGGGATCCCTTCGCTTCTCTGCACCTTGAGCCTTCCCGATCCGGCTCCAGAGCGGTCTGGGTGTTGGGAGGGGGAAACGCAAACCTTGGAAACGACCTTGGGTTAATGCACAGGCTGCAATGCTGGAACCTGCTGGTTGCTGCACAGACCCTCGGCCTCGTTCTGCTCCACTTTGTGTCGCCACTGAACGGCGAAGCGGCTCCTCCTGGGGATCTGCTCCGGGCGCCCCTTCTCTCCCCTCAAAATTGCCTTTTTCTGTAGACTTAAGTGAAAGGCGGCGCTTGGTTGGGCTGGTCCTAAGAGGGGTCTTGACAACCAAAAATCCTGTTGGAGAGGAGAGTTGGGGGGGCAGAACAGAGCTTGGGAAGAGCTTTATCCAGGGAACACAAGACAAATGTAGATGGGAACTTAATAAAACGTGTAACTTTGCCCTGTAATTCAGCGTGCAGTTAGAATTTCGTGCTTCGTGCAGTGACAACAAGGAACGCAGCGTCGCTTTCTGCCTCTCTTGCGCTGACCTGGCTTTCCAGGGACAGTTTATTCCCCGGGATGGGGCTGCCTCTCCCTTCCCGCTTGTCCTGCCGCCTCCACAGGTTTCCCCGGACAAAGCGGGAGCACGAGCCCCGTGTCTCCTCCTCCCTGAGTAACCCCGGGACAAACCCGGCGAGTGAAGGGCACAGGGCTGAGCCCAACGGGGACAATTCCCGGGAGAAAACCTGGAAGGAGGAACGTTGACCCGGCTCCCACAGGGACCCCACGGGAGCGCGGGGCAGCGCTGTCCTACGTGGAGCGAAGACGACGTCAGGAAGAGACTTCTGGACTTCGCGGCCGGGAACACGTGGATGCCTCCTCGTCCTGCAGCTGGAAGATGAGGTTCCGGGTGAGTTTTCTATAAATCTCAAACCACGTCTGCAGTGGCTGAAATTGAATCACAATTTTGTGACGTCTGCATCGGCTTCGGCACACAAATGGTAGGGGAAAATGCATAACCCGATGCTTAGAAGGAGCCCTTGCCACACGGTGCAAGGGAATGTATTTATGAAGACACAGAAATAAACAAGTTGGTTGCAGTGGTTTCCCTTCCCTTCCTGGAAGGTGGGATAAGAGCGGTCGGCGTTGGAGGCAGCGTGGGCAGCTGCTCAGAATCAGAGTTGTTGTGGATGGAGAAGACCTTGGAGATGCTGAGTCCAACAGAAGCCCTTCAACACCGTCCTGCTAAACCATGTCCCTGAGTGCCTCATCTTCACGTTCCTTAAACGCTGCCAGGGATGTGGACTCCACCACTTCCCTGGGCAGCCTGTTCCAATGCTTGACTACTCTTCCCGTGCAGGAATTTTTCCTGATATCCCACCTGAACCTCCCTGGGGCACCTTGAGGCCGTTTCCTCTTGTCCTACCTGTCGTTATTCCGCAGAGGAGCCCGACCCCTCCGCACCGCAGCCTCCTTCCAGGTAGTTGTGGGGAGCGGAGGGGTCTCCCCAGAGCCTCCGAGCCGCGGGGCGGCCTCGGCAGCGCCGAGCACAGCGGGACGATCCCTGCCCTGCTCCTGCTGGACACACTGTTGTGACACCAGCCAGGCTGCCTTGGTCCCCTGGGGACGCTGCTGCCTCACGTCCATACAGCTGAACCTCATACGGTGCCCTCAGCGCATGGATGCGGCCTGTCCGGATCCCTCGGCAGAGCCTTCCTCCCCTCGAGCAGATGGACTCTTCCTCCCAGCTCGGTGTCGCCTGCCGCGCGGCTCCGCGGCGCTGCCAGGTGCCAGTTCTCCTCTTCCCTAACGCGCCTTTCGTTTTCCTCCTTTTTGTGGGAACATCCCAGCACCCGCCGCGCGCGGCCGTGGCCGTCGGGGATGTCCTGGGTCCTGGCTGCTGCTCGAGGGCCGTGGCGTGGCGGGGGGACAAGGCTTCGCGGACGGGTTTCTCCGCCTTGAATCACCCTCTCGTGTGACTCATTTCTGCAGTTCTGGTGATTCCATACGGATTTTCCCAACAATGCGACGCGCCGCAGGCGCCCGCTAGAGATTTCCCTGCTTACGAGTGAGATGGGGGCAGCGAGAGCTGCTTCTTGCCATGCAGGGAGATGGGAACGAGGGCTGCCGTGTCCGCCCCGCTCCCTCCCGCTCGGGAAGGAGCTTTGGGATCTCGCACGGATGCGCTTCCCCTGCGCGGATGGTGGTGTCCGTGGCCGGTGTTCAGCGCGTGGACATGAATCCTCCTCGTTGGCTCCGGGAGAATCCCTCGCAAACACGTCGCTGTTCCTTACCCTCAGTTTCACACTGAAGTTTTTAATAATATTAATAATTGGGAGGCTTAAATGCAGTAATGCTGCTTTAATATCCCATTTGAGCCCTCCGCCTGCTCCTCCTTGAAGTTCCTTCTGTTGTCGGTGGCATCGAGCCCCGCGCGTCACTCGGAGCGTTCGGTTTTACCCTGATTTCCCCCGAAATGTCGAAGGCTGCAGCAAGCGCAGGAAGCAGCAGCCGCTCCCTGCCAGGAATGAGGCTTAAAAAGCAGCCGGGCGTTTGCCCTTATATGTTTTTTTTTTCTTTTTTTTTGCCTTTTAACCGCTTCCTGGCAGCCGATCATGCTCCAGGTGCGTTTTTCTCTGCTGGTTTCACTGAGGGCTCCTCAGGGGCCTCGGTGCTGGCGCCCAATTCCCCTGTTCCTGCGGCCGTCGCTCCTCTTGCTTCCCTCTCGGCCTTCCAGTATCCATTAATTTTAGCTGGGAACCAGAGCAGCCCTGTGAGCCCTGGGGCTGCCTCACGGCCTGGCTGCTTTTTGGCCAGAAAAGGGTTTGTTTAATTAATCGGGTGCTTTGGTTAGTGGAGACTGGGCCATACGTGTGAGGAGAGAAAGGAGAGAGAAGTGAAGAGAAAAGAAGAAGAGAAGGAGGAAGAAAAGGAGGAGGAAGAAAAGAAGGAAGAAAAGGAGAAGGAGAGGAGAGGAGAGGAGGAGGAGAGCGGGAGGAAGGAAGTGGTCTGCAGTGCTCGGGGTGGTGCATCCTGCCCTGCTGCATCCGGCCGCGCTCCGAGGGGCTCCGAGCCCGGCACGGAGCTCGAGACTCTTCCTTGCGCTTTCAGGGATGCCACAGGCTGAACGAAGCGTGGCAGAGCCCGGGGTGCCGCCAGTTTGGGGAGGATTTTGCAAAGGAAAAACACGCTGCAAAGTGGTCGCTTGTGGCAAACCTGGAAGCCCAAAGAAGCTGCCAGGGCCAGGACGTGCCATGCGGTACCCGCGCGTGCTCGGGAGCTGCAGACGGAGCGACACGCGGCCACCAGCCCGGCCCCTTTGCTCCTGCAAATTATAAAGCGTTCTCCTATTCTGGTTGCACCACTACGCTGGTATCATTGCATTATATCCATAAGATACAAAAGTCCCCAGGGGCTGCTGCGGGTCCGGAGGCCCCCGCTGCCCCCGGGGAGCCCCGGCTCGAGGGGAAGCGGCGATGGGGGAGCCCTGTGCTCTGTCCCAGCTGTCCCTGGTTTTGTTTCGAGACGCGAAGCGCCGTGGGCTCTGCTTCTAGCAAACACTGTGGGCATCAGCAACGCTTCAACGTTCAGTTCTGGTTCGCTGCATTGTACCTGCCTGGGAGTATTTGCAGGATTAGGGC